ATTTCCTATTTGCTGTTCCACCGATTACACGGACGCTGCCACTCTTTAATAGTACTTCCGCGGTGTTTCAACGAATGTGAAACTATCTTAAAATTCTTATCTTCTTCTTTTTTAATTATAAATCTTTATTATCTTTTATAATCTCTTTCCTTTTTAATTATACATGATTGTGTTTTAGTATAGTTCAGAAGATGGACATTTTTCAGCGTGACAAAACGCGATGGAAAAGAGCTCCGAATCGATGTTTAAATCATTTTAATGCTCCACGGTTGCCGACGTTTTCTCGGACGTTATCGCGATTAAAGCGAGGGGTTGAGCCGTAAACGAGCGTCGCGTCAGAGCGGAGGCGCGAACCCGTTAAACAACGAGGAAAGGTGTTCCACGAGGAAGGAAACACAAAAAGAGGCGAAGAAAGTGCGAGCGTGCCGCGCGACTAACATAAATTTATTCTATTCCACTCGAGAGTTTGCCCGTAACGTACGATAGCTCGATGAATTACAAATGTAACGGGTCAAAGTATGGCGTTAAATTTCCATAGGCACTTAAACTCCGGCCTTGCCGCGCCGTTCGGCTGACTCGTTCGGTTCTGCCATTTTGACATTAGGCCATAGTTACGTGTTCCTCGTCTCGTTGCCAACCGACGTTAGAACACTCGATTTACGGGTACGAGAAGAAAGAGAACCGGCTGGGGAGGACTAAAAGCAAATAGGCTGAAACTTTCCTGGAACGTTCCGAGCCCGAGTTACCATCTGCGGACTCGGCATTTCCGAAATTCAGAAAACAATTAAGGTTGAAATGTCCCTGCGTTTAACGAGCAGAAACCACATGCAGTTTCGAAGCAATGATAAAAAGGGAATTCTCCACCAATTATTATACGATTATAAACAATCTAACTTTGTTCCAGGCGTCGCACACTTTTTAATCTCTTTATAGATGAAAATTCAAGAAAATAATAATTAAATACTGTACGCTGATTGACTGGTTTACATCGTGGGGACACTCGTAATTTAATTTCGATGTTTTACACCTTAATAAGGCGAGTTCATTAGTTAGCCGAGTAATTTACGCGAACGCAGGTTGAATTACGTTAATAAACAGGACGTAATGTACCCCGCATTCCAGCAAAACATAATTGCGGCTTATGTATTGCATTACTGTGGCGCAGCTGGTATGCGCGCACACCTAACAGATTCTCAAAATCAAGTTCCGTACAAAGGAAGCGTAACATTACGATATGTGCGATGTTGACTCTGCTCAGATGTCAGTTCCCATGTTACTAGATTAATTATAAATAGTGTGGGATCCCAGAAAGATAGACGATCTTCTATGAAGAAAAGCAATTGACGACGAGATTCGAAGAGAGGCAGACGTGTTAATTTCTTTTCATTTATAATAAAATCTAATTGCTTGTTAAGGAGTCACTCGTGTATCGCTTAAAATCAACTTTATTCTGCATCTTCTTTGCATTTAAGATCCTAAAATGTGAAGGAAGTTTACAAGAGGCAATGACTGATTATAATTGACAGCACATGTTACACTTCACTTGATCATATTAAATTAATATTGAAAATAAAATTAAATGTTATTTATATAAAACAGAGAATTCAAAATTATTTAATATTACAGATGATTATAATTTTATTAGAGTAACAAGGAAATTGTATAATTCTGGTCATGCCTTGGAAAGGAAATTGGTTCTTCGTTGAAAAACGATTTATTGAAAGAAAAAAGAGAAAACTTTTATACGTACAAGCGACGATTGCCGATAATTCGTATAACATTCTATATCAATCACTCCCGGAATAAAAGCAAACACTAGTCTCCTAGGAGAGGCCGGGACAATATGCGATGATTGATAATCGAAATTCCCCGGTGTAATTCGTATCGCTCACTTCAACCTGTTAAATCGTTTACCGTTTTACTCGTTCTCGATTGTCTTTCTGTTAGACAAATGGTAACGATTAATTTTATGTTATTCCCAGGCTTTGGTACAAAAGATAATAATTGTAAAACGTGAAGATAAAATAAAATGTAAAATAAATAAATGTATATATATAAAATGAATTTTGCGGATTGTTCCTGTTTCTACCATTTGATAATATTTTTCGTTATTAAAGTGAAACATGATCAAAAGATTTCTTAACAGAAAACATGTATGCCTGTCATAATTTTTTATCGTCACCGTGCACTATACGCGACGCGCAACGTGCACACGTTCGTTTCAATTTTCGTATCTCCGTCGAACAACAAACGATTATTGACGTTTCATAGCTCCGTTCCGGCGCGGAACATTCTGCTCGTAACGCAGGAATAAAAATAGCTGTCCCGGGCTGGATCGCGGGGCACGTTCATCGAAGGATAAATCGCGGCGCATAAAAAGGATCCTCGGAGGCTTAACGGGGTTTCGCCTTCGCACGCAGCCGGTGCTCGAACCGTCGCCAGTAAACAGGCTTAAATCGCGACGTAACTCGGTGTACGCGTGCACGATTTTCCATTACAGGGAAACGGCAGTGCCTCTAATCTAACGTAGTTTTCCTGGCGTAAGACCAGTCCTCTCTTTTTCTCGTACGGAGCGACCGAGTCCGACGTCGACGTATCAATTCGCCGCACGGTCGTTCCGTCCGCGGCGGGAGTATCCTACGAGTCGTTCCCGGGAAGATCGGTCGTTCAGCGCGGGGCATAAAGTAGCCAGAGTCCATTACTCCCGTCTCGGTAAATCGGTATCCGGGTTAGAGTTCGTCGAGCGACTTAATACCGATTGTCTTTCTTATGGCTAACGCGGTGCTTTCCCACGAAATAACGCCCACGTGCTCCAACACGAAAAACAATTCCAACTACCGGGTAAATCTTCTTTCGAAATTCATTTGTTTTCCACCAGACACGAGTGATATGTGCGTACAATAAACTTCAGCTTTAAACTGCACTGCACAAGTCAGCGATGAATAATATTTCTACGTCAGTTTAAAGAATTAGACGAAGAGAAAAGTATTCAATATTGAAGCATTGATATACGCTATTACAGTTTTGTACAATTTTCATAGAAACACGTGAGATCGATTGAATGAAATAAGAAATAATGAAATCTAAATGATTTCGGTAAATTGAATTAAATCTCGAGTAGGCAAGTTTGAATAGAAAAAAGCTCGCGTGCCGAGTATCGTTCCCGGATTTGTATTTCCCGTATTGTTAGTGAAAGTGCACGAAGTTTCCATCTGGCATTTATCGTCCCGAATAAAAGGTCTGTTTGCCCGTAGCACCCGGACACGCGATCTCGGAGTTAGGAAGCGTCGCGTCGCGTCGATGGGAAACTCCGTGGAACTGGGATCGGGGCAAAAATGCCGCGCATCCGGGCGGGCGTCCATGCGAGAAAGAGGTTGAACACGCGACAGTTATTCCCGCATGTTTCGAAACTTCGCCGTTCCCAAACGTTCGGAGTAGTCGCATGGATGAACAGAGTGAGAGGGCGACTCGCGACTCGCGAGCTAACTAAGCGTACCATCAGGCCGATATCATTGAAGATGTTCCATAACGAGGTCGAAACGCTGCGAGAGATTCGCGGTTTTCCTGCCCGAAGTAGCGGACAAAGAATAGATTCGGTGGAAAACGAGCGCGGCCGCTGCATTGTGCATGAAGCTGCGGCGGGCGTGGGCGCCGCACCGCGCGTAACCGTATTTGATGGCTGGAGGGATATTAAGCGGAGCCCGAAACAAAGTTTATTTAGCACCAGTCAGCCCGGGCGAAGTCGCGCTTCGCACCGCCAACTGTTAGACACCTACTGCTATAGTACGCTTTCACGGTGCACACCACCTGTGTTGCTCTCCGCAGCTGCGGCGAAGACAAACAGAAAGAGGCGTCGGTGATAGAGGAGAGAATAAGGTGGCAAAAAGGAATAGAGAGAAACGGCACGGCCGGGGATAGATAAATTAAAGTGACTGAGAGCGGGTCTGAGAGAGGGAGCGGAATCGGTGGAAACGGTGGAAACTGCGGAGAGAGAAGACACAGAGGCACTAGTGGTATATAATTGTTACGGCGACGACCTTTCAGTTACCTGAAACGTCGTTTCCTTTGTCGGGTTTGTGTGCGAGATGAGAGCCGTTTCAACGGGTGTCGGGATAGAGCCACGTATGAGTGAGGAACGGTGGTATACGTACGTAGGAGGAGATACACAATCATGTGAGGCAGCTCGGTAAATACATATTCTGGAGGTTGTGCACTTGTATTAACCGCGCAAGCTTTGGACGTCTTTGCAGACATCTTCGTTCCTCGACTTTGGCAGATGGTTCGACGCGACGACGCGTTTGCTGAGCACACTGGGATCTTGACTCCAGTTAATTGTAACCTTTGCCCCCGGACTGCTTCTCCATTGGATCGACTTTATACGGGACGTCTGGCAAATTGCCAACCTCATGAATAGACTGCGGATGTTTATGCAAATGCATATTTTCATAGAACACATCCGATATGTGCCTTGCCATAAAGATGTGCGAAAGTGTATGTTAATTTTGTGTACATTGCGAAGTAGATCTTCATCTCTGTTCATCGTATTGACGTATCCGAACGCTTTATTCATGAAATTAGGTATATTTAAAGTGCATAAACGTCCGCATCTTAATTATTAGCTGATTACTTTGAAATCGACCATCTAATAAAAAATTTATTTACTATTTGTAATGACTTGTAGAAAGATCGACGCAAAGGTAGCTCGTTACTCTGATTAAGAGACGTGAAATAAATATTTTCCATCAGATACGCAGGTTTAGAAAAGAATAACACGAGATATATTTGTACAAGAAGTTATTACTTGTAACAATGGTTGTGAAATTAAATTAAACGTTATTAATGTAACAAACAATTTCGGTATTGTTTTCGTTTTTATACATACAACCATTCGGAAAGCAACTATTTACGCTAAAAAAATATGTAACGCGTAGTTTTATAAGTAATAAGAAGAAACGAACCTCTTTGGTATCTCGAGACGTCGTTTAGCCGAACGTTAAACTCCGTAGCATTGCCACCTCATCCCATAATACAACTCGCAAACGATACCTCGAACGAAATATGAAAAGTAATGATTCCTTCGAATAATGTAACATGGTTACAAGCTATTCGTTACAACATCGTAGCATTACTTCCTCGTAAGCCGAACGTATATCAGAGTATTCTTTCTCTTGGGGTGACTATTCTACGTTTTATCCATGTTTCCGTAAACCCATAGTGGCTTCACATTCAACACTGTTTCTCTCGCAAAGCCGCACGTACACTTACAAAAATTCATTCTCCACTTTCTCTCCTCTCGGCCCCCCTCCGCACTCTTTTTCTCACGGAAAAATATCTACTAGTAAGTTACCTCAGGATCTACCGGAAACCCTATACAGAGTCGTGTACATTTGTAACCCGCTCGCGGTACATACCAGGAATACGGCGGTGGATGAAAGATACACACAATTGTACAAATGAGAACTGAATTTAGGAAACAGCGCCCGGTGTGGCAAGCGTGATGCCGCGTTTTTGGTTAATAGAGAAAGGGTCATTTGTCCGATGCATTTTATTCTCACCCGCGACCGTTCTTTCTTTCCCTGAATGAGACAGAAAATGAAACGTGTTTCGTTGTATAACATCTGAGTCGCATTCTTTAACGACTTACAAATTGTAAAAGCAAAAATAATAATTAGGATAGTGAAGCCTTTCGTGTTTGAATTTTGAATTAAAATTATTTAAATGTTTTCGCTGAAAAAGTAATGTTGAACATTTTAAATAATCTCGCCGCAAAGACTGGATATTACGGTTTCCCTCCTCGAGCTATCGATTTCTCGTTCCTCTGACCAGCTGTATTATCACGGTAAACTTCCGTATTCCGCGAAAAGTCTTGCACGGAAGAGATTCTTGATTGTTGACACAACTTATACACTGGCAAACGTGAAATATATTCCAATGAACGGGTCAGGAGAAATACGAGACGGTAGTAGTTAGTTTTTCAGGAAGTTTTCATGCCACGTCTCACGACCCATTTGTCCAACATATTCTTACCTTAGCGCGTTTGGTATTTAAATACAATTTATGATTATGCCCGTCCACTGATCTCTGTAGAACACTGAATAATGGCAATAACCCCGACTGAAATACCTTACTTTATATAAGAAATCAAGACTAAAAAAATCATTTTTGATCCATCCCAATATCTCAATCCGTTCCGGAGATATAAGCTTTCAAAGTTCAGGCGCAGTGTTCGGTATTACTGGCACAGGTCAATGACCTAGTTACGAGTATCAGCTGGCTGTCTAGACCGGGAGTCGGTCAACGTGCGAGGAGGACAACAGCGGCGTCGAAAAAATTATAGTTCTCTTCACACGAAGATATCTCCAGAATCGGAAATTGAATCGAGATGAATCGAACGGTATTTTAAAGAGAAGGTTTCTCAGTTTCGAACAACGGAAGTTTCATCCATTTACGGTTATTTATTACAAAGTTATTAACCATGAAAACCGGATTGGTAACTGAACTGATCTCGAGAACGATGATGTACAGAGTGATGGAACGGTGTGTACGTGAGGTCGACTTTCACGAGCTATGGCTGTGAGGAGGACTGAAAATTAGAAAAATATCGGTGCGTGTGAGAAAAATGAATTATTTCGAATTGGGATCATTTTCTTAAGACGCCAACCATGCCAATCTACTTCTATAGAGATCAGTGCACTTGTCACTTTGATTTTATCGCTTTTCATTTTACATAGATTCTACGTCTAATATTGTACAGGGTTTTTAAGTAACATTAGAAGTACAACTCCGAAGCTGCGCAAAATAAAGAAATCCGTTTCATGCTCATTAATAAGGGATGAATTAATTGAAAATCGTTTTATGCAACTTACAGTTATCAGTTTACATCGAGAATTGAGAACGGAATAGCAAAAGACGATTTCCAAAGTGTATCTCATTGATTTTAAAGTAAAGTACGAAACGTTCCTGAAACAAAATTTCAAGAGGACTAAAGTAAATGCCCGCAATTTTTGTTCACGTCACAACTTCAACTCGCTGGTGTATTTTCCGATAATTTTATGTGTTATCTTAAACTCATAGAAAAATAAACCAGTGTGTAGAAATTGCGACGTGAACAGAAATTGGGACACTTACCTTGCTACGAACTTCCGTAGCGTTTTCCTCTCTAGGTAACGCGCGTGGAGGAGACTACGGGAAAGAAGTCAGAGTCGGGGGAATCACGGACAGCGAGCGCCACTTGGCCAGCCCCTTATTCGCATCAAAATCGCAGGATCGATCCCCGGGTCCTTCACACGCTGGCCAGCGAACAATGGTTGAATAGACACGACGCGGCGGAATGACATAGAGCAGCGTGCCGTGACACGCATCTTTAGTTGGAATAATGGCAGGATGTTCGATCGCGTCCTCTCCGTGTTCGAGGACGAAATAGGGACGCGTGCTCGAGTGGACCTCTAGGTCGCTGCTCGGGGCTCTACGCTCCTCAAAAGTCCTGTCTCGGTATTACGTGTACTATCGCGGCCAATTATGTTTATTCTCAGGCAGACTCGTCAATAGAGATCGGTAAAGAATACGTATGCACGATCCGTTGTGTTGCATGTAATGCAGCAGTGATCCTGCCAAGTGGAAACGTATGCTTGGCGGAAGCGATATAACGAGGTCAGAAATTTCTGCGGTGAAATGGCGAAACGACGTCTATCTAATTTTACAGTTTGCTCTGTTCCGTGGGGTATAATAAAAAGTTTTACGTATCACGAACGACGGGCTTGCCTTCTTTTTCAAAGTACAATATAAAAATTGCGCTGGTTTAACTCGCGGATTTTATCTAATCCGAACACGCGGAATAGTAGAGCGGACTTTCTGCTCTTGTCAGCTGCATAAATCCACGTATCTTCGTTTAAGAATTTATGTTATACGGCTGAGTATTTTACTATCAAATGAAATAGTAATGATTCTGTTATCATATTTTTATAGTCTAGTTATATTGTTTTTAAGAATTGTTTATTGCATACAAATAATCGATTAACAGTTTTGATCGAACTTAAATAATACATCCAATAACGTATGGCTTTACAAGTGTTACGAAAGATCGTTTGATTCAGCCGTCTGTTCGTTAAGTACTTACCAAACACGGAATCACACTATGTATTGAGCATCGCTTGAACGCGAACGACTGTCTTTACCGGAACGCTTGGTGTTACTTGCAAATTAACGAATGAACCGGTCCGTCACGCATTTTTGATTACACTACGATGAGTAAACGTTCATCCGATAGTCGAGATAAGCGTATATGAATAGACCGTGTGTCCCGCGTCTCGGGCTCGTAAACAACAATTGGAAGTGGTGGTACCCGCGACTCTCCGAACCTAGCCGAACCGAATACGCTAACAAATACAATAATGTACAATATTATTATACCGATGTTGATTCAACGATAATTATCAATTGCTTATCCCGCCACGCCGCGCCGCGGTCGGTTCGGTCGCCGTCCTTAGATCGTCGTTCCTTTCTCTATCCTCCGGCTCCTCATCCTCCTCCTTTTGACTAGTGCGCTGTTCATCGTGCGACGCCCGTGGACTCTCTTCTCGTGGCCTCAGGCGCATCGTGACTATCTCAAAAACAACGGGAGCATGCACAGCATCAGCATCGTCAAATACATCCCGGTAGGCGTCGAGCTTCCGTTCTCGGAGGTCACTGGAACAAACGTATGCGTACATCGTTATTACTGTGAGAACGTTTTGTATTATCACGAGTGAATTAAAATGTAATGTAATCAATAATATGAAATTCAATGTGGATTTAATAATCATTAAATTCAAATTCTTCTTGTTGAACCCACAGGTGTCTAGTTTGTTACTTCATTCCATTTTCCTTTTCCGCCATATGGTAACAGGCCTAGCAAATTACGTGGTGTACCTGCCAGGAATCTCCGTTGCCTCACGGAATCGGGTAATGCAATAAGACCCGGCATTGGAATATCGAAACGTAATAAAAACCACTAGTGAAGTGGAAAGCATCGAAGGGTCGGCGGGGTGAGTGGGCAGCATTAAACGGAACGGCAATAGATTTTCCTCTTTGTTCGGGCGAGGGAAAAGTCAATTTCGTAAAAACAATTTCGTAGACCACGGGCCAGGCAAGTGAGTACGTAATACGTAGGAACACGGAAACGGTTTGCGAAAAGGAACCGGACGGCTGGCTGGTGTGAAACGAAATGGAATTACCGCGACTGCGGCCGAACGAATTCCTGTAACGTGTCGATACCTACCGGGGATTTGATAGGAACGGTGCCGAAAGGAGCCAGCCAGACTGCTCTCGAATTAGACGACCCAGCTCCGCTTTCTTTCCTGACGTATCAATCCACTTCAATGCTGATAGACACTTTTTTAACGGAACCGACCCGACGAACGCGTATTCGATGGTCGTACAAATGTATTATCGCAAGATAAAGTATTTTAAGTATTCATTTTAAACGAAAAGTTTTAGATTACATATAATAAATGACAAGAGTAATAAAATTAATATTTGTGGTCTCGAGTTTTACTGAATTTAATAATATTGAAGTAAATTACGAATATTATAATTTAGTTAGTGGAGTTTAAGAACGTTTGCACTTTCACCTCTTAAGGCACCGAGCCATCTAAATTTCAATTTAGCTTGTTGAAGGGCTTACGGGGGAAATGTCAGATTAAACATAATTTTTCGTATAACTTCATACATTTTATATACGCTACGGAGAAAGTTAGGTAGAAACAGGTAAGGATACAAAAACATCACTTGAATGGAGTAAGTTAACAGGCTCCTTTTGAAGGTTTCATTGATCTCTTCACATAAGATTGATATTATTTTTATATTAAGTTCGTGAAGAAAGCCAACAGTAATTTCATGTACGCACTAATCGAATCAGCATAAAAAATGTAGGGAGGATGTTAAAGAAGGAAGTAATTCGATATAGTCGACGAGATTCTAACGAGGAAAATGTAATATCTATGGGAAACGCGGATCGGAAGGTCCCCGTCCATGGGTCCCCGCTAAGAACTTTTCAGCGGGATTCAAGTGACCGTGCGTTCAGAGAAGTGCGCGAGGCTTAAGCTACAGGGAAATCCTAAGCGGCGGAGAAGGCGGAAAGGCAGGGAGAGTTCTTGATATAAAAACTCTTCAGACAACTTCATGAGCCGGCATTCTAAAAAGTTTCTGACACGAGTCCTCGAAAGTTTTACAGAAACGATTTACTTAGAAAATATGGGGTAAAGGACATTGTTACGCAACCCTCGCCAGCGGGTGTGTTCACCTTCGGTTGGAATTACGCAGGATACGAGAAAGTAAAAGGAAAAGATGGCTTTTACCTCCTCGCCACTGAGTACATAACCGTGCAAATTATAATGGATTAACGCCAAAACGAGATTTTCAGAATGTACCGTACTCGCAAATTTACACGCTGCTAGATCCTCCTTCTACGAAATCACAATTTTCATATAAAGAATAGTTTTATATTTTAATTACCATGTTAAATGTCAATGGCTCAGATTTAACTCATTTGCATCGTACGGGCCATAAATATTATAATAAAAATTAATACAACATTTAACGTAATTATTGATACAATATATTATTCGATAATTTATGTACTAATTGATACTACATTATTCATAATGACTTATATAATGTTTAATGCAACGTTTTGTTTAATTGCTCATGGAGGTAGTATGAATTATAAATATAAATTATCCTAATTGTGATCAATGAACAAAGTGCAGATATTGAGGCCTCCACTCGATGAAACGTCACATAGGATCGGTCAGCGATCGATCACGCGAGCATCAGGCTAGTAAAAAGATCCTGGGAGGTCTCGAGCGGAAAAGAAATGCCTCAATTACTCGAGCGAGCAGTCGAACGAGAGAATTTCTATACCTATATAAATTCTTCTTCGAGTTGACCGGACAGGCCAAGCCAAGTCATGGATTCCTCGCTCGGGTAAACCCCAAAAGTGATTCCTTCGATAACCGCCCGCACTCATCGGTCAAAATAATCGACGCGACGCGGAGACACCTCCGATAATCACGTCGCTAAGTATCGTCGATCAATCACACGATTCAGCGATCTCAGCTCTGACGTGTATATAAGTGGACTGCCATTTAAATCTGCTGTATTTATCTAAGAATTTTGTCTTACGATTCGTTGTGCTAATTTCTTACACATAAAGTTGTCGACTTAATCAAGAGAAACATAGCATCATTTATTATTACAATTATTGTATTGAACTTATTAGAGGAAATCTAATATCAAATTTCACGATAATTGTTATATGTATCGAAATTGATTAACAGGGTTATGATTATTTTTAAGAACAGAAAGTCCTTACTTTGTATAGTCGGCATCGTTTAATCTATTATTAGTTAATCGGTCGAGTTTATTCCGGTTCGCGAAGTTCTCTCGTGTCTACATGCTACACGTATGTAACCGCGAAACGGCTCAAATAATCAAGTACGCGAAGTCTGATAACGGACGCTACTCGTCAAGTGGCTCGAGAAGCTGAATAAACCTATGATACGCTCTCGAAATAAGCACGCTTTGCTGAAGCGCGTCGAGCTTATCGTGATACTCGGTTGCTCTTACGCGGACCTGACCACTTGGCATTTGAATGAGAGATAAGAACCTCCTCTCTTGAACGGCGTATGCACGTCTATTTCATTTATCTTGGCCACCCTAACATTCCTGCTGACTTCAGTTGTGTACATGAGAAAATACCTCCAAGTTTAATTTTGTTCATTCGCGTTTCCGCGAATTTCCACCGTTTAAGATAAAAAATAGCAATGGAGTATCATTTTTGAAGAAAGCATTTTAAATTTCATTAGACTCTGCCACTGACTAATAATTAGTCTTATTATAGTCTCCCTTAAACGTTGTGAAATGGATCTGGTCGTTCGCAAATCTATGAAGGTAATCCCAATCCTATTGCCAATCAGAACAACTACGATCGAACTGGCGCATACGTGCACGTACTATAACCATTCAACTAAAAACCATTAACGATTTATCGCTGGATCCTCGAGGTCCGTAAAGAGAGATCCGAAGAAGACGCTCAAAGCTCTTTTTCTCTCCTTTTAGTTGGTCGTTGTACACGTGAGATCAGCGTCCGGGGATTCCGGAAGAGATTCGCGAGACTCGGTGGAATGAAGGCTCGTAGGGTGCGAGCGAGATCGACGGCACGGAAGAGAGAGAGAGAGAGAGACCCCGGTTGAGTTTAAAGGGGTCAAGAGAGAGAGAAGAGGGCCAGACGAAGAGGTGAACTTTCGAAACGACCACGCCGAGAGCCCCGACAGTAGGCATCTTCTACCTGGAACAAGTTTCTCAACAAGACCGAGTCTTACCCTAGCCACGATTCTATTGGAAAAGAAAGGATGCAGGGGATTCAAAAGGAATTCTAGTGTTATTGGTCCCCGAACTTCTACCACTCGTGCGTTTGATTCTTTTACGTTTCTTTGTGGGAAGAGGAATGTGAAGTAACAGATAATTTCGGTCATAATGGCATCGTGATTATGCACTTTATGGAGAATTGAAATATCCCAAAGGGTGTAAAATGCGTATAATTATAAAAAAAAATATTCGTTCAAATTAAAGTACGTGCTTTTATAATAGCACGGTTTCATCGATTTTCATGTTGAATTCACTTGACAGAACTATTACAATTTTCTAAGAGATTCATAAGATTCACATTTTCAAGTCTTCTTCTTGATTAATTCACATAATTTCGGGGATAATTAAAAATAATGGAACTGTATCTTTATTCTTTTAAATATCTCTTTCATTCCATAAAATCAGAGGTAAGTATTTTATATACAGATATACATATACATATGTACAATGCAAATGCGAAAATGGTGTACAAATGGGTTACAGTTTTTGGCTATATTTTTTAAAACGAGAGAACGCAAAATATCTGGCTGGATGGTAAGCTATTTAAATTCTTCACGTTCGTACACCATTAAAATTTGATTACACTTTTCTGTAATATCGAATGCAAAGCTAGTCTATATTCTAGATATACATTTTGGATGGAAATAAAAAATGTTTAATTAACGATCTGGTAATTTTCATTAAAATGTTGAAACGCATGTTAGTTGAGATTTTATGCAGTAATATAATATGCAATAACGTAATGAGATACGCGTTAATATATAACGTATACAAGTACGAACGAAGTATAAAATATAAATAAAAAAATTGGTTTTATTCCATTTGATAATTCAAAGTTAGATTACCATTAAAATCTTATATATTATATATATATATATATAATATATTAAAAATTTACACTGTGTCGTGCGGGCCGTGTAGACGTATACGTCAACTGCTTTTCGGAACAAGCTGAACCAGTAAAATGTTTCACGTGTCGATATTTAAGTAATACTGGATTTTCGTGACGTACCCATTTACAATAATGTGGCTACTGTTGGCCTATATACGTACTTTCCCTTCGTATCACGTGAGATATCTCGGTTCACCGCTGCATAGTTGATTGCCTATCCCAAATAACTCTGGTTTACCGCTGCATAGCTGATTGTCTATCCGATCGGGGAGTAACATGATTTTGCGGCAATCAATGGATTAAAGTAGCGCATACGTAATATTTCACGAATTTACATTTTACTTTCTATATTATTAATTATTTCGATTCATCATAAAGTTTAATAGTCGTCTATTATAAAATAAAGTATGTCACTAATTTTAAATCTGTATAGATATAATCTTCTACTCAATGAATGTTCAACTGAATTAAGTAATTTCACTTAAAACTGGAATTGGTTAAATGTTATACACGATTGAGAGGAGAAACAAAATAGCGTGTGAATATCGAGCATGAATTTTTAACGATGAAATGATTTTCGTGTAAGGAGCCAGTGAGCTGTTCGCGTTTTAATCAGACAAGGTAGTCGTCGCGCGTCGGTCTGACGCCATCCATCATACTCTACTTGCCCGCGCTAAAATTCAATTTAATCGGGCGCGCCGCAGGCTCGTCGATAAAAACAGAATGAAATTTTAAGTTTCTCCTTTTTCGCTAGCGCACAGCGCGTATTCGCTCGGTTGGTAAATACGCCGTACCGGTCGAATATAATTCATCGCCTTTTGTTAAGAGGATGACATCGTTTCTCGTTTCCGCGGCGGTAAAGTGATTGTTTCAATCGCAATCAGTACCTGTTACGTTCGAAAAGCGTTGCCGCACTGCGGATAATAAGAATTTCAACGCGATCAGCCAGATGTAAATTTCCTAAAGGGACAACAATCTATTTCGTAATTTATCGTTTCTTCATTATGCGCTGTATATATGTATTTATATGTAATAAGTAATTTTATTGAACCCAGCCAATGGAACGTAAGACAATTTGTAAAAGCAGCTTTTACATCTGAAACACACGATACCTTAAATTTAATTGATCGAAACACAAGTCTTTATCGTGGTTTCCAACGGGGTTGGCGCACGTGAATCAGCCATGCGTCGTCATAAGACGCCAAGTTAGTCGCGACAGGAATTCCGGTCGGATCTATCTCGGCACGATGTAGAGTTTCCCACGTACATGCTCTGTACGGGCCTGCTAGAAAGAAAGAAGGAGGGGATACGACGAGGTAATAGGGGGTGTGGGGTGCTGGCTTTAACCGTGGTCGGTCAATTAAATCTCGTCGACGTCGCGTGCAGGAAGCGGGCGCAGCGTGCACCGGAGGCTTCCTTTCCGATTTCGAGTAGGTGGACCCTAACTCTCGAAATTTATTAGCCTGTGCGACCGACCGGCTAATTTCCGACCAGCCAGGTAGCCCGACCGTGCAACTATTACCCCACAGCGTACGTCAACTGGCCACAACCGGGTTCCTCGTGGTTCCAGGTGTGCCGGCTCGTTGCGCCGAAATTTCGTAAAAAAAAAAGAAGGAAAAGCCAACTGCCTGTTTGGGGTTCATATGTATAACTTCATTACGACCGATGACGTGATCCCATGTCGCTTTGACGAGTTTTAAAAAATTGAATTCTGCATGTTGACCTCCGAACATTTATTTATCAAGGGAGTGTAAAAGTTTTAATGAGGGGATTCTACTATAAATTTATATCAATTAAACTAGAGTTTTTCGCATTATGTATTCGAACTGGTATATAAAATTAATTAATTTGGAATATTTACGGGAACGTGTAAATCATGCATTAATCAAAGATTGAAGTACTCTTGGAAACAGAACTTAATCGGAATATTTATAATTATCAATGATCATTAGCAGACCATTCGGAGCAGAGATCGGACTGCAATAGAGATCGAAGCATGAGCGACTAAGCCCGAAAAAGGCAGACTACCGCGGTAGGTACGTAATTCACAGTAATCCGTTCGTTATCCATATCTTTGCGGCAGAGCGATTAAATCTGGAGGACTCGTGAATGTTCCAAGCGTCAGCGCTGTACACGCGGCCTCGTTCAAAGTCAGCATAAAACTCGTATTACCTCTCTCCGGCACAGGTTCGCGCAGTCCGGTCCCAAGTTGCACCTCGCTTATCGCCGAATATATGCCCCGAATCTGTGCGCTGCATCGTAAATTCAACTGGCCGTTCGAGTAATGGGACGGTTGAAGGTTCACGCTGATCTCGATCCACTGGAAGCTCTCCAGCTGATCGGCATGAGCCGCGTTGTTGTGATCCCACCTGTGTTGTGGGTACAGTTGCGGTTGGTGTTTCCTGTCCGGCTCCACCTGTAAGCAGAATCAAAGGTGCATTGAAACACAGGATCTCCGACTGAAAGAAGCAGCGGGGTTTCAATTCGGATTGAACCGTCGGGAAACGCGCCGAAAGGCGAGGGAGAAAGAGATAGAGAGAACGACAAGAGCCGAGGAAATGTAAATCTGCTTTTAACGAAATCCGTTCATCTGGAATCGAGTAGCGAATTCTTCGTTTCGCCTCGCACAATCCTTCATCCACCCAGTGCACTCCTTCTGCTCTTTCCTCATTTCTCCTCACCGTTCTTGCATGCTGGTACTGTCTGTTAAAGCACAAAGACGACTCCTTCCAGTTCGATGAAAAGTCGAAAGACTGGCGCCGCTGTTCCTCCGATTAATGTTTTTCCTTTTTTCCCCTCCCATCCCTCCATTTTCCGACCTCCATCCTCCGCGTCTAACCCCGGGAATATTCGCAGGAATGCCCGAGTCCCGAGTTTCTTAATGGATCATTATCGTTCTAAGAACTGGCGATGGCGTCGAAAGTAAGTTATTCGGTTGAACGGCTCACGGCTGCGCGGACTGAATCGCAAGTGGACCCGGCTAAAAGATTTACTTAAAACTTCGCGCAATGAAATATACCCGGCGATTATCCCAGCGATGATTGTATGCCGTCTCAATCGGGTCTTAAGCATTTTTTAAAGACTTCATAGTTCCTTGCGTTATTTCGTTATTAAAGGCGAGCTAAATAACAGGCCAGTTTTTGCATTACCAAATTTAACTCTTCATTTCACGTGAAATAGACGTCGATTGTACAGAAATGAATGATTGATACGTTCGTATTTAATAGCGTTCCTCGGTGTCCTAACTAGTCGATTTCCGGACGTGATTTTGTAAATCGGTTTTATGTCATCATTAACAGCGATCACGGACTTACGCGAGCTAGACGCGTAATGAGGAAAGTGATTGATTAGGAGATATGGAGCGGGGATGTTATGATAATAGGGACCGCAAATGAACTCGTCAGTAAAATTATGGCTTGCCCGTCCTTTGAACGCGGAAACATTCGACGTTAGGAGTATGACAGTAATTTAACTGGATGATTATGTCGAAATTTGAGGGGATCAGAAATGTCGCAGAACTAACTAAAGTTGCATGAGAGATAATGTAATATGTTGGTAACCTGGTCGTTCATCACGTTAAATCTCCATAACGTGATTTAGCTTACATTCAGAAATTACAGATCCTCTCTGGGTACATTTTTCTAATATAACTTTCTATAACCAATTATTATGAAATTAACTTTTTCGTTTCGAGCATAATTTACTTAAATCGTATTTCTCAATTCATAAAAGTTGTTCAGGAAATATAAACCATTTTTACATTGGAATGTCGATTGTAAATTCAGATACAGCGAACTCAACGTTCGCTGGAGAATTTTTTATCAAAGGGAATTGTTAAAACCCGATGCGATTATGAATCGACGTTCGTCGGATAATGTGGACTGGAGTCTAATACGTGTATAAGAACAAACACACGTAGGGACGTTATTGTGACGCGTTCGTGACTGATGAGTAACGCTTTTAAGCGCGACAAACAGCCGCGTCTCGGGCGATTTGTTATTATTTTTCATTGAACGTCCCACGTAGATTCGGGTGAACGCGAAAATTGAAAAGTGAATCGCGTGCATGAAAAGATGAATAGGGACGCCGCGTCGCGATACTTTTATCGTTCGTTCCCTGTTCGTTTTTGCTTCAGGAACGGAGAGTCAATTCAGAAACTGCAACAGAATTTATCTGAAAGGAAAAAAGACACGAGAACTGAATAAATGAAAGCTAAAAATCGGTGGGAAACACCGCGCGACTCTGTCCAGTCCTACCTACGATTTTTGTCGATTGCGTTCTTGCGCTCCTATCGATGAACGTATTAAAATTCATTATTTCATAGCGGACACGTAGAAAGACACGTCGAAACATTTTTTTTTGTTATTGATTTCGGCCTGCCGTGTTAGTCACGTACGTACCGCACATTTCGATTGCAAAGATTTTCTTACGGATTAAAAAACGCTCGAACTATCAATTCCCTAAACGACGTTCTATCAAAATATAAATAAATAAATAATAATTTAAATATTTTTAAGGTTTCAATAACTTGATAACTATTTTTCGCACAGCAAATGCTTGTAATAAAGTAAATAAACAATTAAACACGGTACCAACGCGACGAAGCCTGCAACAGTAATTACAGGGGAGATGTTTCACGAGCAACGAGACGGGCGGCAACGCTACGCAGTGAACGAGGAATCAGAGCTGCCTGCCGTCATGAAATTACATCTGTCGGAACGTTGATCACAAACGATCTGCAGAAGCCATTCTTTGGAAACCCTTGAAAAGAATGCTCGTGGATCACTGTCAACGTGATACGTCATTCTCGGCTACGCCACCGCGTTGAGTTCCACTTTACAGTATATATGTATAGATACACATTGTTCTCTAGAGATCGTACAAACCACTTGCCATACCTCGTCAAGTGTTACTACTGATTAACCTTTTTACGATCAGATTATCCCCCTTCAGAAGAATTTTATATTCGTTAATTTACATGGGAATAAACATAGCGAATAATTTATATTTTATATAACTGAATTCATTATATATAGAATTGAGACGTTCATATAGAATACAGTTGATCAATTGCATGAGTCACTGTATAAATTAGATTGACAGTTACTAATCTGTTGACAAGAAAATCCCTACTCAGATTGATGAAGCTATTTGTTCCGGCAGTCGTGAAAAGGGTTAATCATCGAAGGAGGGCGGGAATGGAAGACTCGAAAGAATTCATTTCCAGCGAGCGCGCGATAGATTTGTCAAATCTATGTCAGGTCGAGACAAACGTGCCCCGGCCTCGGATGATAGTATTGCAAGCGCGAGTCCACGAATTTCCTCGGTTGAAAAATTATGCAATTCACATCACCCGTTGTGTCTAAGACGAAAAACCACGATTCACGTGATTAATGACCGCCCCGGCGTTGATGGTTATCTCCCGGACGCGTCCTTATCTACTCGATAAATAAATTCCGCCTTTTGTGTAACTGGAATTCAGTTTGAAAGTGGGAAATGATGATCGATCGCGAATTATACATAGAAAAGAGGGTTGCATCGTGTTTGATGCTTCATATGTATTCAATGGGGTAATTTAAGCTGTACTGGGAAATGAATTAATTACCTATATGCGTAATACGAAGTTGGAGGAGCACTGCTATAGCGCATATTTAAATACAGGTCTGTTTTCAAACTAAGAGCAGTAAGTACGTCTCATATGATTAACTGAATGTGCCAGGCGTAAGTGGCTTAATAGGAACTGTGTACAATTCGCTTAGATTTAAATCAACGAGTTAAATGGAACAGCAATTCAAAAAGCGTCTGTTTAATCCAGGGATCCCACTCTCGGCGACGATGTAGCAACTTTCGCCGCAGCCTCTCCGTCTTTAATTGAATTCCGGGAAGAAAACAGACCCGAAGGCACGAAGGTCACGAGCAATTAGCCCAGGAGTGGAAAATTGAGCTCGCCGTGCGCGTAGGCTCGTGGGCTAACGGGGCAGAGTAATACGCGGGGGGCGGAACAAGCTAAATTCTGAGTGTTCCGTTCAATTAGAGAAAACACGAGAAAATGCATTCCAGTCGTGAGTTGTACCAGCATCTATTGCGCCGCGGCTCTTTCTGTATTCGTCGAAGACCTGAACGCTACCCGCCGTAACCGAGAGGCGACGAGAGAAATTTAAACGGGAGGCCACTGGAAACCAACGACTGGGATTACCGGGGTTGCGACAAGGATGACACCAAAGCGCGCCGTGCCGGTTTCCTCGTCCCGGGATGCGACCGGCGACGATTGTTGGCGAACGGTCGCAGTTTACGACGCACCACCGCGACGACAAAGTGCACCGGTGTATGTGTGTTGCATCAGCAAACACACGTACAGCTAGCGACGATGAATCCACACCTGTACCTATCGGGCACGACAGCCTGACTTATACTCCACACCCGTTCTACGGGGTGTTCTACGATTTTCGTCACCAACCATTTTTGTCAATTTTTTTCTTACTAGCTTATATAGTTTTACATAGCTGCAAAATTAATTATATTCTGGAACTGAGTATTAATACATAGTGTAACTCTACAGTTTGGGAATCGATAAAACCATTTTCAATTATCCTTAAATAAATTCCTACGAATTACAATATTTCTACCGTCGCTATTAATGGAACGCGTATATTTGTTACCGAAAACGTTTTACTCCCTCCGAAGATATAATGCTGCAATAAATTATACATATAAAACAGTGTAACAAGGTTATAACACAATTTATCATATAACATTTGCCCCATTAAACATTTTATCCATAGTCAGCTTAAAGGAAATTTTTACGACACTGCGTACATAGGTGCCGGTGTATGTACAGGGACACGGGGTTACACCTCGAAAATGTCCTGCAGTCGCTCTGCTATGCATTGCACCTAAGGGCGTAGCCAAGCGAAACCCCTGCAACGCAACGGCAGTTTGTTCCACGAATTTATGCACGCGGCTGCCGAGGCGGCGGCGGCGGCGCCGGGAACGAGATACACTTTTGGCCATTATTTCGCGGCGCGCGCGAACGTCAACCCTTTTTGGCACCTTTGAAGTGTCTCTCGGCGGTTTCCATGGCTAACCGCGGCTATGAAATACGCTTCCCTCGACCTCGACGTTTCACACGATATTGTTTTAACGTTATTTGACACGTTATTACTCCATAATCGCGCGAGGCTTTGCGACGTCGAGAGCTCCTCGCTACTTTTTAACGCGGCTGCTCTCTTCATTTTCTGTTCCCTCGCTTCCCGTTACACGTCGTGGGCGTAAATTCTTTTTCCTTTAGGGAACGATTTTTGTTTCCGGAGTTGGTAACGCGGCTTGGCCGCGGAGTTCCCGTCGAATGTGCAAGAACGTTTATTATTAATTCGACCGTGTGGAGCCGTCGCGATATTGGAATATCGATCTGCCTTT